TCTTGTTAAAGCTTGAGCAAAGCAGCACCTCAGGACTTATAAAAACCTGCACCTTGAACTTAGTGTAACTCCCATTAAAGTCGATGGATGCTGAGTCAGACCTTAATTCTTCTTGCATCTTAGAGATTCAAAAGGTGAAAATCCTGGCACTACTGATGTTTTGCCATTGACCTCACAGGGTCAGGATTTCATGCTAAAAGCCATAAAATGGCACTGACATTTCGTCATTGCTGTCTTGGATCAGATTCATAACAGTGACCCAGGAGACAAAAATCTCCATAATCCATTACTACTGTGCATCTACCCAGCACTGTCTCACCACCTTCTACCTTTGTTAAAGAGGGGAAATCATCTATAATTTGAGCTGCCTTTATTTTAACTCAAGTGAAGAGGAATGGAAAAATCTTACTATTCATTTTTCAATCACATGATTTTAGCGTTCTAAGTAAATTCTTGATTATTTTATGTTAATTTAATTGGGAAAATCTCTTTTGGAAATGAAGAGGTTTTGTTGGATGATTTGCTTTTAATTTTTTTTCAATACGTGTTCTAAAAAGACTTTTTAGTAAAACTGGAGGGGCAAATTTGAGATTTATAGCATGATTGAATGAAATGCTTGTGATTAGCAGTGAGACCTATGAGGAGTATATAATTTCTTAATGATCCTTAACAAAATATTTAATTAAAGAGCAGCTGGAAAGATAATGTTGATTAATAAAAGGAAATCAGGGCATTAACTGATTTCTGTAATGTAAGAGTACTTGCACTGTGTGATAGTTACCACATACCATTAGCAGTTAGATACAATAAACTGATAAAATACAAAATTATTCTGCCCTGCCCCATTAAATTTTCAAGATTGCAAATGCAAAATATTGGCTGTGCATTACAGATGATAAAATAATAGATTCCAAGTTCACAGATACAAATGTACTGAAAAATACAATTTAAAATTTGTGTAGGAAATTTATATTATATGCAACATGGCTACTTTGGCATAGGTCATTGCATTACTTTGTGGCAGTCCCTTTGTCCAATGCTTTCAGTTGCAATTCTGGTTCTTCCCTTTGGCAAAGCTTGGTCACTTCTTAGCTTTGGTTTTATAACTTTCATCATATTAATAGTAGTGCTACTCTACTGGAATCAATGGGTTTGATGTCTTTAAATCCAGGCATAGCTTGAACTGGGGGTGATCTGCTTATTAAAGCAGTAGATGTTTACATTTGGAAATTAAAAAAAAAAAAACCCTGATTGTGAGTTTTGTGCAAAATTTCCTTCCTTCAAGCTTCTCTTTGCTAAATAACTGCAGATCTTGAGACATTAGGGGTACTCACATACTCACATTACCTAACTTGGTTTTTCTGACCTCCTTCTGGAGAAGCCTATGGAGACTAATTTAAAAATCTCCCCTATGTTCCTAGAGGAAAGTGGTGTGGTCATTCCTGCACTCTGAGAGCATTTCTGACTTTACTGGAGTAGTTTGGGCTTTCCACCCTCATTGAGGCCTTGGTGTGCTCTGAGTTTTATGCAGTTGAAGGTCCAAGTCAGGAGTGGTATATTATTTCTAAGAAATGCGTATTTAAACACAGGTTCATACTAAAATTTTAACTGTTTGCTTTCCTGTTAACATTAATGAAAGCATATATTTATATGCCGTGCCTTTGAAAATTAATTTCCTGGACATCTCTAGGGATATAGGGGTTGTGTACAATGCATAGTTTTTCCTTGTATTATTTATTAATGGAGGGGTATAATCTAGTAGCAACTCCCTTTGTGCACAATTTTTTCAGCTTTTTAAGTCACTTTAGTTGTGCTGAACTTCGAGATGAGAATGAAGCCTTCTTTGTCTTTGTTGGGGGTTTTTCTCATGTTTACTTCCAGAATGCCGTGTAAATATCTCTTAAAGATGTGCTTTGCAAATAAGCTATTATGGTACTAAAGAAAACATTGATTAGTTTTAAATGGCAGTAACAATTCAAGTGTATGTAAAGACAAGTGCATTTTCTTTTGAGGTTAAGCCTCTGAATTTAATAATTGAAGGAAAAAATACAATAAGATGTAATAGAATAAGCTTCTGTGAAGTGCATTATGCAATTATGACTGCCATAACTACAACTGCTTTACCAGATCATAGCAGGTTTTCT